TATTCAGCCACCCCTTCAGGAGGGTTGCATGTGGCACAACGCCGGGTTTAACGTGGGTTCTCCCAGCCCGTAGGTTCGCCCCAAAAATGCCCGTAGAACCCGCATAAAAGGGATCGGTTTGGTCAACCTCCCCGAAGGCAGAGAGTTCGACCTGCCAGCCGAAAAGATTCCGGCTGGACTCTGGGGGCTGTAAGCTTGGATACGCGTGCAGTGCAATGGAACTATAATGTAATGAAATTGCTTAGAATTGTTTGTTATATTCACTTACGCACAAATGATCTTGGGAAAGTTATGAAACCACTTCATGACACACCAGGTAAGACCTGTATTACAAAAAGCATTATTATCTCCAAAAAATAAAATAAAATTCCAAATATAATATTTAGATTTCGACATTAAATGACCCCTAGTTCTTGATATGCAAGAAAAACAAGAAACAAATTTACTGCATGTTTAGCTCTATAAATATAACCTTACGGAGAGGCACTTGAATTATACCCTAAACTTGAAATTTGTGCGATAGAAACCTCATTCTCAGTTTTTATTTTACTAATAAAAAAAGACGTCGGTACACAATGAGCCATATAACGTGCCCTTTATTTTTATATTTTTTTAAGAAAGAAAAAAAATGTTAAGTCAGCAGTCGAAAAGGTTGGTGCAGATGTCTATTTTCACACACAAAGGTTTCACGGATTTTTCTTTTCGTATATTTCCCCAGTATTATTCCGAAGTGTTCAATAACCTATCTTTGCTTCTGGTCACTCAGAAACGGAAATACCTTCTCTGACCACCTGTCTGTGGCCGATGCACCCAATAGAAGCGTGTGCTCTTATAATCTTCTTCCTAACACGAAAGAGGCTCTGTTCAGTGGCGTGGTATCAATCTGTGATTGACTAGTTTTCTTCTTCTTGCCAAAGACGAAATGGAGAACACCTGCAGTTTCTATTAAAGTGGAAATCTCCAATTCTCCTGCGACCAAGTGAGTAACGATCAATCGGCACTGCCTCAGCAACTCTCACTAACACGACAAAGGCTTGGAAGACGACGTAAATAAATAAATAAAAGTAGAAGATGAGTTGGAAGTAAAAGTCAGTTGCGATAAAGAGTAACTTATTCACAATGTTGGCATCTCGACTGTCAGCGTTGCCATCAAATAGCGAGAAATGTGTGCGCCTGTATTTCCAAAGCCGGAATCTGCGTATATTTCCACATAATGAATCTGCCAATCACCTGGTCTCTTGCATGATGAACGCAATGAATTATTCAAGATGCGTCTTTGTTGGCCAGAAAAGTATGCACTGTTGATTGAAAAAAAAATCATGAAAAAATAACAATAAAACAGATTGCAAAGATAGAAATCAAAACGCTGGTCCTAGTTGTAAGTTTCGACGAACATTTATTCATATTTTTTGGCTTTACGAATCAACTAAAGGTGCCAAAAATAGCGAGTAGGTATTATTAGTTTGGAAGGTTGAACGTCTGGTGTAAGGTAATCGATATACCATTGGGATGGTGTTGACAGAAGGCCGACTATTTGAGGAGGCATTGTTTTCGGTTGCGTCTCCTGGGCATGATTTGCTGCTGATAAACATCTGCTGCTTGAGTATGCATTGCATCAACTATTAAAAAATATTTAAAAGGTGATCACATCTACTTACGAAACTTTATGCGCCTTTTGAGACCATCATTTGTTTGCCTGTGCGTTTATTCATTGTTATATTCAAGAAGCCAAATCGGACATAGGTGAAACATTATTGTTCCTATAACATATATCCTGAAAACTAATCAAAATAAAAGGAAGAATAAGTAAACGTACGTACACATACACGAACGCACACATATCAATCTCTCTCTCTCTACACACACAAACACACAAACACACACACACACACACACACACATATATATATATATATATATATATATATATATATATATATGATATGCCCAAGTGTATGATTGGTGTATACGGAATAAATTCCAATAACCAAAAATTACTATACTTAAAACAGTGCTCAATACAGAGTAGAGCGAATATAAATATTTATTTAAAAATCATAACATAATTATATTATAAAATCACTACAAAAATAGGTGTTGAATCAAAATGGCTATTTTTGTAGTGATTTATAAACTTATTTATGTTATAATTTTAAATAAATATTTATATATATATATATATGTGTGTGTTATTATATATATATATAATTATTTATATATATATATATATTTAATATTAATATATTATTACTATTGTATTTTATTGTTATATTATATATATATTATACTTATATATATATTATAATTATTTATATACACATATATATATTATAATTATTTATATATATATATATATATATATATATATATATATATATATTATTTTTATGAAGGAAACATATTTTTTTTTAAAATTAAAAATAATTATAATTTACGCTCTATTTTAGTATCGTGCACTATTTTTCAAAAAAAAACAAAAATACTAAAAATTACCTAACGAGTCCTTTTCCATATATATATATATATATATATATATATATATATATATATATATAATATAATTGCAATAAAAATCATTTTATATCGCTATACAAAATATTTAATGTTTCGGTACGGAGAGGGCACTATCCATAACATGGTAGATAATTAATGAATAAGAAAGTTTTTATGTAAAATGTTTTTATTGTAATTATTATGATAAAAATATTATAATAATATTTTGCTCTACTTCGTATTGAGCATTTTTTTTCAAAAAATAAATCCTACGAAGTGTTGAATTTTAGCCCTCTCTTCTTTCTCATATATATATATATATATATATATATATATACATTCTGCTTCCATTTGATTGTATTATATTATTATATTCGATTAGGCGAAAACTACTTGTCGGAAATATTTCAATGCATTTTCTATGCAATATATTCTTTAACGGCAAATTTTCTCCAAAAAGTTGATCACAAAAGCTTCTACTTAAATCTGATTGCTGACTTCTTGTTAAGTATAAAAATGTGTACAACGCCTACGCAATATCGTTTGCCGATTTTTTGACCAGGTTTTGGAGCCGATCACGTGACCTAAAAAAAAAATAAATGCAGCAACGCGAGCGGATCTCATCATTGAGACAAGAATTTAACTACAACGTACGCTTCTGCCGTATGCCTCTCTAACTCATCAGGTTCCTGTTTGATATTTATTTCCAGCAGTGAAATTTTTCATCAGTAATAATTTATCTTGCAATTTTAGCTTCAGAGCTCACAGACCTCAAAACTCACTCTCAGCACATTTTTATTCACCAGATTGTTCGGCAAGGAATTCTCGACAATTTATTTTAAATCAACTCAGAATTGTCAAGTTTAAAAGTTTATCTTTAAATACGAAACACAACTTAGATTTTCAACATATATTCACATTTTCTCTCACTCAACAAACTTTCAACGACAAAACATTTTTGGAAGTAAAGCACCTTCTTCTTTGAAAACTTATTTCGACTGGAATCTAATTTCGTTAAGTCATTTTACACTATCATCTTATAAATGAGTATTTTACTTTTTAAACTCTCACAAAAGAAAGAGTTTAACGAAGGTAAACAACTTCTACCGTATTCTTAATATTAAAATTCTTAACTAAAAAGATGAGTTTAAAACCACTTTCTTTGACTCCGAACCGACTTATTGATTATAAATCCTATGTTTTTTTTTTTTTTTTGCATACACTTTGAACACGCTAAACAAAGACACTTTTTACTTGCCATAAAATATTTTTGGTATAACGTTTCAACTTTAAATTTTACAACTCACTATAAAATCCCTGAGACGTTCCATTATTCAATCTTGTATATTATTGCTATATAAATGCCATTTATTATTTATTCTTAAAAAAATATTTTCATATATTTGTTGTGATTGACAGCCTTGTGCCAAAATATTTGTGGGGATGTTTTCGTTCACCCTTCAACAAAAAAAAATACATTCTAATCTACATTTATTTAAACAAACTATTCTCTCGCAAATACACAAATAAATATATATGTGTGTGTGTGTGCGTATATATATATATATATATATATATATATATATATATATATATATATATATATATAAATTTATGTAAGAAAATGTATAGAAAAATGTTAGAAAGTTTTACAAATTGTCAAATATTTTAACCTCCCTTCGCATTCTTCTCCAAATTAGAAATATATATATATATATATATATATATATATATATATATATATATATATATATATAAATATAAAAAAATACCACTTTAAGGCCCGATTATGATTTATTTCAGCAGAGAATTTTACTTTTCTCTGGATCTTCAGACTTCACTTTCAAAGGTGAAAAGAAAAAAATGAACTTTAAATTTACACTCTTGAATAGCAGTATTAAGCTTATTATATAAGGTGACATAGAGGGTGGTGAGAAATAGTGTGAGAGACATAGTCGAGATTCGAGAGGAAAGGGAGGGTTTTAAAATTTATTTTCAATTTTTATTACAATACTTTATATTGAGGAGGTGGGTAATGATCATCCTATGTAATCGGTCAACTCAACGGAAATGATATGGGAAAAAGAATAAAGGCGGGAAGTAAAGAGATGAGAGATGTACGTAGAGTTTTTGTAGGAAGGAAAGGGGTGGTATAGCTTTAGCAATTTAGATAAACACAGATTTTAACGTTTGATTGTAATTTAAATGTTTAAAGATTTAATGCTTGTTAGCAATTTAAATATTTAACACCTCCACAAATAAATTAGGGGTTTAATATAAACCGAATATTATATTAATAAACAAATATAAAATAATGAAACTTTACTAATAGTAATATTTTAATATTTTGAATGACTGTTAAGGTAAAATCTTTATGAGTTAGAGTCTAATTCTTCAATTTAATTTGAAGTTATAATTAGATAGGAAATATTAATTAAGTTTAGGTTTCAAATCAAGATGGCATTAGATTTGAAGGTAATAGTAAAAAACATTAATGTATTTGCATA